ATTGTTAATTGTGTTGCGTTGACTATATAAACAACCGAATGATTTGTTTTATACTTTTAATATTGCGTTTTTATATGTTTGCTAAACCTTTATTTTTTATTCCAAAAACAAACGTTGAGTGGTTGCTATTGACTTTGTATTGTATCGACATAAACATGAGAATAAAATCTCATTTTTCTATTCGAAGTGCCATTGTTTTGACCTGAACAAAAAATTTTCTATCAAAAGTTTGGTTTTAATTTTTATTGTTTGGTTTTTCGTTTTTTTTGTTTTTTGAGATAATACATAATGTTTTTAATATTATAGCAACAAATATTATAATTTACTTTAACACTTTAAATAACATTGAACAAAATTCAAGTGGTCTAAAAATCGGGGAAATATCGAGTTTATTAAATAAATTTCCGTTTTTTTAGAGTTTATTTTATGTGCATAAACTATACACAAGCCAAAAAAAGGAAAATCATCAAAAATTGGATTAATATCCCTGTAAAAACAGGCCAAAACAAAAATAAGGGCGTTATTTTAAGTGTTAATTTGCAAACAAGCCAAACTTTTTCCCACCAACTCAAAACACATTTTAATGTCATTATTTTGGTTAAAAATAAAAAGAACTAATTAATTACAAATCATGTTGAATGCAAATTATTTACATCTAAAAGTTGTTGTATTAGGAAACGAATGTTCAGGAAAAACATCAATTTGCCAACGTTTTTGTGATAACGAATATTTTGATGTTACTTTACCTACTATTGGTGCAAATTATAATTTAAAAACGATTACATACAAAAATAATACAATAGATCTTAGCATATGGAATTTTAGTGTGTTATTTTTATATTAAAAACATAAATCTTTTTAGATATTATATTATTATTATTAATTAGAAACATTAAATATGAAATGTTTAATAAATGAAAGATAAATAAATAACGAAAAGGTAGCCATAAAAAATTTTTAAAAATGACTGAAGTTTATAGAAAAAATGTGGACATTGTTTTAGGTTTGAAATATAAACAAAATATCAAATAAATATTAAAAACACAAAATTTAATTAATAGTAGTTTTCGATACGAATGATATTTACTCTTTTGAAAATATATTAGAGTGGATAGATTTGGGGCAAGAAGAAAATCCAAATAATATTGCAATCATTGTTGTGTGCAATAAAATCGATTTGGATAACAGGCTAATCACAGAGAATATGGCACAAAAAATGTGTGACAAAATTAATGTTCCATTGGTTTGTTGTTCTGCAAAAACAGGAAAGGGGGTGTATGATGTTTTTGAGTGTGCAGTTTCTCAAATATGTGATAACCATCAAAGAATGGAAATTTATCAAAAGAAGTTAATGAAAAATGAAAGTGTAATGAAAAATAAGTTTGAAAACCAATTTGAAAGCCAACAAAACCATTGTTTTGTTGTTTAATTTTGTATTTTCAATTTTAATCTACAATAGATATTATGACATTTATAATATGCTCACTTTATATTATGTGAAAACTTAGTTTTATGCAAGATTGTTATGGTTAATCTATAATTTATATAAACTATAATATAGTTTTGATTTTTTTAATCACAAACATCAGAGGTTTGCAAAATCACCATCCTTATTACCCACGTCAATATATAATTACTTTTATCAATTCGTACATCGTTATACCACATTTTCAACAATAATTATATAAAAAACACCTGCAAACACTAAAAATGGTTTCACTTTATTTTAATAATTCTAATTAACCAATACTAAAGATAAAAACCACTATATAAAACAAATTTTTTACATAAACTAATCTTACATGAATTAAAGCATCTACAGTTTGCTGCAATTTGAAATTAAAGTTAAAAGCGTCTATTTGTCGTAATTATAATTGTCGAACTTGCTTATTTGTCGGACAACTGGCCAATCATTTTGATGTACGACAATTAACTATTTTGTTCTCGAATCTGTGCCTTTTGTTGAATTTTAACTAAATTTTTTTAAATAAATAAATTTCAATATTAAAAAGAATTTTCTACAAAATTCACTCATTTACGACAAATAGACACGTTTTTTCTCTGGATTTACGACAAATAGAC